AGCTTTTAACGAAAATGACCTCTGTTTATATCAAAACCCATTTTCGCATTTAATATTAAGCATTGCAATATTTCTGAAGTAGCAATAACAAAACCATTAGATTGAGCCTTTGAAATATATTTTGTTATCAGATTTAGCTGGGTTTGCAACTTAATTTCATCTTTCATTTCGGTTAGGCTGATAGAACGTTTCGGTGACCTACTATACGATTTAGCTTTTCGCAGTACGATTTCGTATAAAAACTAAAAACTTGTTTAAAGGCATTATTTGTTATGTTTAGATATGCATTTTTAAGTAAATTTGTTTGGATAATTTATTTGATGCTTCAACAGGCGTTCGTCAAGTGGTCCTTCAACAGTTTTCCTAGCAAAATCTATTTTTGAAGAAAAAAAATTGTGAGTGCTTTTTTTTTCAATTATAACTTCTCAATTTTTGAATCGCCTTAATATTACAGACTTCTTTTATTAGTTTCCAATATTAAATTTTGAACCTTTTGTCTTTTATTACGTCCACTACTTGATGCATAACTCATTTCAGGTCTACATGATTCATGGAATTTTGTATCCAATTTGAAGCAGTTTCTACATAGAAAAAAGGGAAATATAAATTTATTCATGCCAACAGAATTAAATTTATAAACCATAAAAATACTTAGTTTTAACGTATGAAAATTGTGTCGAGACAATTTTATTTCATTTCAGAAATAAATCTTTCTTTTTACAGCAATTTACTTATCTATATCTAATAGATGCATATAGTTCTCTTACGTAAAATGTTTGTTTGTAATTAAAGATTTTATTATCGTATAAATTGGAAATTGGCATCAGCTTTCTCATACTTTCCATTCCAGTTAGCGACATTACATTCTACGAGAAAATTTACAATTAATTGTTGAGCTTACCACCACTTGACACAAAATTTCCATTTTGGACAATGAAAACTTAATGTATGGTCGCAACCTCTTTTTGGAGATAGTGTAATCAACGCTAATCGAAAAACCAACAATGAAATGAGTGTATTTAAAGCACTATTTTTTGAAAAGCAGATTGCGAATAGCAATAAATTGCTTAATAATTTCGATTCGTTTGATGACGCGATGGCACAGGGGATATAGCGTTCGCCGCCCAATGAGGTGATCTAGGTTCGAATCCCATTGGTGGCTGATTGATATGAATTCTGCTCTCCTTGGTTGTACTGACCTTAGTGCTGACGAAAAATATCTTCAGTGGAATTCTCTTGCCATCAGGCTAACTGTGGGAGATTTTTGTCGTTTTCCTTTCCATGGTAACGCAAATTTGGGTTAGTCCCATCAAAAAGTCCTACACAATTTGTCCCAATGCTTTATCCAAGAGATCCCATTGTTATCTGAGTTGGGTTCAAAATTACAAGGCTGAGGAGTTTAACATTGATAGTCCTAAACTCAGAATTGGATCGGCTGATCAATGCCAGTTATAAAATAAAATAAGTTTGTTGACCATTTTAAACCCCTTTCGTCATTATTCAGTGTGATCTCTCGGTCAAATGTGTTCTTAACCAAATATTTAATTTATTCTATGTACAAAATACAATGCGATTATCATAACGAAATTTGTGACTTATTTACTTCAACGATGCAAAAGGTGTTTTACAAAGACAGCAATGGTGCTAAAATCTTTCAAACTAACGTAATTTTTTTTAACACTTTTGAAATTTTTTTTTAAGGATTTAAAACAGTTCTGTGAATTGGTAACAAACTAATTTAACCACCCTATTTATTCATCTCAGCTCCGGTACACGATTTTCTAACTTCCTGATTCTCATCCAGAAAATATTGTTCGTAAAATATTCATTCGGGCATGGATTCTACTTCAAACTTTTCACCCCATCGAAATGATGCTATAGAGGAGTGAAAATTAACGCTATGTATGTTGATGGGGAACAATACATAGGGAATTTAGAATGCTTGAAACCCACTCCACCCTCGTCCTTTCTGCTGCCCAGTCGCTTGAAAAGTTCTCTGATGCGAGCGAAATTGACTAATTAGACTGAGGTGAAATTGTCACTGACATTTATTTGTGCGTAAAGTATATATATTCTGTGGATTTGGGTTAAAAGAGGGTACCATGTATTTGTGACAAATAGAGTTAAAGATTGATTAGGAAAAGACAAGAGGATTCTTTGAGTCCCAACTTTTGAGTTTTAACTTTTACCCAACTTTTGAGTTTTAAATCTGTTTTGATCAACATTTAATTTAACTAGATAAATACTCGGTTTTTGTGCAGTGTGAAGAAAAGTAAATTTCGGTATTAATCATCGCTACGAAATCATGCACAAAACCGATAAGACATATACGGACACAGTTAACTAAAATAAAACCATTTCTTATTTCTACTACTTTGTGGTTCTATGATTAATTGAAACATGTCTTCATAAATTCATTCCGTCAAAATAAATATTAACTGCATTCAGAATCATCTGGCATCATGCTATTGCTCGAGGTTAACTTTTAATAGCTAAAGATAATCAACAATTTTCCCCAGTAGTTATCACTTTCGGTGCGACATAAAGGCCTGTTTGCACATTACCTATAGTGGGTATCAATACTGGTATATTTAGTACCTATTAAAACACTAATTAACATAATACCAGTAATACCTGGTACTTAAATTTAGTATTATTCGTGTCAATAATAAAGTGAATTTTTAAGGTTTTCCAAGATGTACTTTTTCTTGGTATAAAACTTATTTTTATTAATTTGTGTGTACTCATTACTAAAGTTAAAATAAAAAAAAAATCAGTGGTGTCAATAACACTTTAACAATTCTTTATGGTTCTGTCATATACGAAAAAGCAATTTTTTCCCCCGTGAATTTAGCTTTTTAATATAAAACTTATTTTTATTGTACCTAATACAAAAGTTACTAAATTTTGATTCTCAAAAATAATTATTTACAGCACTAATACTTTTATTATCATTTTTGGTGTACAAACAAATATCGGTACTTATTTCAAAGGCCGAAAAAGATCCTTAGACTGTTATTGACGCCGTTGATGTTTAATTAAATTTGGTATTAAATACTACTTGTATTGCCATTCTAAGCACTGTGGTAATAAGAACTTATTATTCCAATATAGGGGTTAAATGTAGGTACTGTCATAATAAGTTTTTTACTACCCACCGAAGTACCCCAATATCATCATACCATACACATTCACGGCATCCAATGCACAACGTTATATTTTTATTATTTGTTGTATTTTTCCGTCCCGCTTTCATACTATTAGATTTTACAGAGTTAACGCAACAAAATAAATATTAACTATACATATAGTATCATAAAAAATGATATTCAGAATTTTCCATTAGATAACTTCAATTCTATTTCANCAATAACACTATAACAATTCTTTATGGTTCTGTCATATACGAAAAAGCAATTTTTTCCCCCGTGAATTTAGCTTTTTAATATAAATTTTATTTTTATTGTACCTATTACAAAAATTACTAAATTGTGATTCTCAAAAATAATTATTTACAGCACTAATTCTTTTATTATCATTTTTGGTGTAAAAACAAATATCGGTACTTATTTCAAAGGCCGAAAAAGATCCTTAGACTGTTATTGACGCCGATGATGCTTAATTAAATTTGGTATTAAATACTACTGGTATTGCCATTCTAAGCACTGTGGTAATAAGAACTTATTATTCCAATATAGTGGTTCAATGTAGGTACTGTCATAATAAGTTTTTTACTGCTCACCGAAGTACCCCAATATCATCATACCATACATATTCATGGCATCCAATGCACATCTTTATATTTTTATTATTTGTTGTATTTTTCCGTCCCGTTTTCATACTATTAGATTTTACAGAGTTAAAAGTTCAACGCAACAAAATAAATATTAACTATACACATAGTATCATAAAAAAATGATATTCAGAATTTTCCATTCAATAACTTCAATTCTATTTCATTACTTCTTGTTGAGTTTTCATTAATTAAGTTTGCAGAGTTAAACTATTTATGTAAAGAGTGGTAGAAACTCAATTCACTTTTATTTATTTATCATCTCTTTAATTATTAAATAGTATCTATCTTTATGACTTACATTTCATATTATTCATATACAAAACTTTTTTTCATTCTCTTTTAATAGTAAACGGAAAAAAATTATCATTTAAATAGTTGCTAAGTTGAATTTTTTTAATGAAATTTTGAATTTTAATAGTTAGCACTTTTTGTAATTTTAGTTGCTCATGGCAACCTTGCAAATATCAATAAAAGAAAAACATGGTTTCATATACCTTTTAAAACACGAATATAGTGACGTCATTCCTATACGTTGCGAAATTATTAACGTTGATTTTACGGTGCTGATAACCCTAACATAAGGACATCTGAGATTCATAGGAAAGTGCGATAAAACTAATTTTTGATTGGTTGAAAGTGCAAACTAGCGAATAACTCATATACGAAATATTTATTAAATTCTACGCAAAAGTCTTTGTAACAAGTGTTGGGAGAGAGTTTTAAAGTAGACAGTTAGATTCGCCATGTCTTCGAGCGTATGTAGACTAAATTTAGTGAGTAATGGCTCAAAATTGCAGATTTGTATAAGGTAAATACAAACACACATACGTATAAACGAGCTGATTTATTTACATTAATGTGAGTAACTGAAAAATTATTGTATTTTATCCAGATCAAGATACTTTTTTTGGCATTCTAACCGTACTTTTTATCACATTTAGTTATTCCTGATGATCTCTGTTTACTTTTAATTGCTTTGTGGTGAAACTGCATTCCAAATTGATCTTTAATTCCAAATAAACTTGTTAACTTCCAAATATCTATTTCAGACCTTTAACTATTTATTATTATTGTATTTAATCCAGATCAAGATACTGTTTTTGGCATTCTAACCGTACTTTTTATCACATCTGGTTATTCCTGATGATCTCTGTTTACTTTTAATTGCTTTGTGGTGAAACTGCATTCNCGTCAACTTCAATCAAATCTTCAATTTTCAAATCCAGTTCCTTCAATAAAGATTCCTTTTCAATAAGTTTAGCCAATAATTCATCTAAAGTTTCAATGTTCGGAATTTCATTTTTTATTTCATGTTCGATTTCGCCGAACAATCTAGTCGTAGATGCTCTGACCGCACCTCTTTTCTGCTTCCGTTTTGAAAGTTCAGCAGACATTCTCGAATTCAGAATAAATTATCGAATAAAGAACGAAGAAATAATTTCAATATAAAGTTCAAGATCAAATTCAAACGAACCCCTCTTCAGTAATAAATATTTTCAATCAGTAATAAATATTTGCAATCAATTCTTGGGGTTTTCGGCACCATATAAAAAAGCGACAGAGGGGTTAGGATTCATATTCTTTAATAACAACAAAACAAAAAGTAAACATTAGAATAGCCAAAAACAAAAGAGTAGGCAACGCCATCTATTGGTTCAAAACATAAATTTTCTACAGTTTTAGAGATAGCTTTTAGGAATTTAAATCTTATAGCTCCAGATTTAACAGTATTTGTACAAGACTTGAATTAATATTTACAGCTGATGTGTTCCCACATTTAAAGTACTTATTCTTAAGAAATTTTTTAAGAATATTCTCGATTATTATCACTACGATTGCACCCTTCCCACTTAGTATGCTGTTGTAATGGGATGACGTAGAATGTTTAAACTAACATTTCCTAGGATATTTAGCAAAATTAGAACTACAAAACTGCTGATCGTAATCCAAAATTAAAACTAGGAATTCCAGGTCCTATTAAATGTTACTAACATTTATTTGTTGCACTATTTGATGCACAGTGCGTAAAAAATAAATGAACCAACCTGAATAACTTTTCATCTAATGATCGGATCTTTACGTTTTAAGACTCAATTTTAATAGCTTGAGAGAGTGACCTCAAATATGCTAATTAATTGAAGTAGATGATGTTTTAAATAACGGAATCAGACAAAAAGCGTTCTTTGTCTGAACAAACATACCTTTTTTCGATGGATTCTTGTTTCTAACCCTCAAATATAGGGGAGAATACATCCGGGAAATATGGTCCCAACAGTTTGGTCATGAAAACAGTCCAAAGTTTGAACACCTTAATGTTATTTGTTTTTTTTGCCTATTTCAATATATCTCGGGGACTTTTTAAGCGAATCGGAGCTTTTTGCACACAATTATAAAATTCGTTTATTCGAAGATGCATGCAAAAAATAATTTTTAGTAAATATTTATAATTTTTTATTATTTTATTTGGTACTAGTCTAAAACATTTTGAATTTAAAGGTATGCTATCTTTTTTTTTTTACATCATTTCAAAGAATGTAATTTTACGTAGCAAAATACGAAATTTGAGTAAAATAGGTTCCTGAAAAATTGAATTTTAAGTTTACGACTATTTTAGAATGCAATTATTAATTTAGATTTCTGAGGATGATTCAACTGATTTTGCTCAAATTTTACATTTTGTCAAAATGATGTAAAAATTGTATATCTTACAATTCAAAACTTCCCCGCTAGTACTACTTAAAATAATAAATATTTATTAAAATTAATTTTTCGCATTAAATTATATTTAAATGAACAAATTTTATAATTGAGTGAAACATTTTTCAATTAGCTTAAGAAGGTTCTCGAAATATGGTGAAATACTCAAAAAGTAAAATTAACGTACAGGGGTCCAAACTTTGAAACGTTCTTCTGAGCAAACTTTTCTGCATCATATTTCCCAGATTGCTGCTACTTGGGGCTCAAAAATCCGAATCCGTCGAAAAAACTTTAGCTTATTCCGAAAAAGTACGTTTTTCGTCTCTGATTTCGTAACTTAAAATATCGTCGGCACTAATTACTTAACATATTTGAGGTCACCCTCTCAAACCATTAAGATTGAGTCCTAAAACATGAAGATCTCAATATAACATCAAAAGTTATTCAGGATGGTCCGTTTATTTATTGAGCACCGTACATTTTTTTTAAATTTTCAATGGTAGGGAATACAAACAATAACACGGAAGAACAATAAAAATAGAAAATAACAGAAGACCGAAGTCATGTTTCCAAAAGCTCTCTCGCACTCCATCAATATCTTGCGGTCTCCGAGTCAAGTCCGTGGAGCCTCCTACAGCAATGGAGGTGCTCTCTATTCATTGGTGCACCAGAACCACACAGTTGACACTGAGGGTGGTCATAAATACCTATACGATGCAGGTGTTCTCCTAGACAATCATGACCTGTTATGAGTCTAAAGGTGGCTACTGCATCTCGGCGAGGCTTATCTTAATATCTGTCTCACTCCTGTTCTTATTCCTTATGCTTTCTCGTAGGTCAGCAGAGGCATTCATTATCATTATGTGAGCACTGTACATCTACTTAAAAAATTGTGTAGTGATATATTTAAATTCAAAAAATATTTTCCATTCTTCTCAAAAAGATCTGCAGAAGCGGCTCTACAGTTTTATCCCAAGTGTGACTAGTGAAATTAATGTATTTGTTAAATAAATGCATTATAAATGCCTGATACATCTATGAAAAATATATACACTATATGAAAAATATATCTATGCCTGAAATATATTGATGACAGAAAATTATGAATATGAATGTAAAATAAAATAATTTTATTCATATTCATAAAAAACCTGTAGGAATTAAATTTTCTAATTGTCCATCTGCTGTAGAATCATTCTTTCCCATGGTAATTCCGGGTTTTTTTCTTACCTTGGATTGGTTCTCTCTGTAAATATACTTTTTGTACTATAAATTTTGCAGTCTTGCATGTTTGACTAATAATCTTGGCTGGAAAATTGTATCTCTCGTTTTTCTTAAAGAAAATATGAACTTGTTGTTTCTTATTCCACTTGATCCATTCCTTAGCTAGATCAAGTCCAGAAGACCGTTCTCCCACAGAAAGTCGTGAACCAGGAAATCTAAACAGGAGAGCAAATGGTCTGGAACAGATTGGTGGGAATTGCACTTGGGGTACACAGGAAACTCCTTCTGTCCATGCACGTATAAAAGTGAAGAACTGGGTGTAGTTGAGTTAAAATTCTACATCTTTGCACACAATTCCATCTTGCACACCCAAGTCTTCTCTACATCTTCAACGTTAAAGAATTTACACCATTTTGCAGAATAAATAAATCGAGCGCTGGCACTATTCTCCTGACATCTCCACAATGCTTATCACATTTCGATAAATTAATGGCCATGAATTCGATTTTTGGGCACAAAAGGATTTGGTCACAAATCGATAAATTTAAAAATATAATATGTAATTTAACGTACCCTAACGTTTAACGATCCTTGCTTTCTTCTTGCGCTTTAAAGTAGGAGTTTCTCTAAGAAATTCTTTGACAAGATGCTTGCATTCCACTTCCCTGAAAACCACCTCTCGAAATGAGTATATCTTGTTGGAAGAGTTTCTTTGAATTTTCAGAGAAAATGTGTTGTACCATTTTTTGGTGCCTTTAGCTCCTTGCGATGGAGCAGAATCCAGATGAAGCTTCCATTTATGAATTTCAAAATGCTTTTGTGACTAAGAAAACATAGCATCTTTCACCATAAATTTGTGATATTTTCGTTTGTTAATTTTTACCCATTGATCAATTACACCAAGTTACGTTTTCCGGTAGCCTACTGACCATCAAATATTTAGATCGTAGTGGCATCTAGGACCAAACTCTATTATTCTGACTATTATGAATTTGTTCAATCGAGAATAGTTTCTCATCTGTGCAAACAAGTTTCTACCCATGGCCCACTTGAAAATATATTTACATATTTGAGGTCTTACCTATTTGTGTTTGGCTGTTAACTTTTATGAAAGAAATTCTTGACACTTTTTTTTCCAATCAAATGTGCGGTTAATCTCCACTTAATTGGCAACATCTTACATTGGAACTCTTGAATATTCTGGAGATCTTATTTTGGTAGCTTTCTGGTTTCAGTTGGATGCTCATTCTCCCTCGTTAGAACCTCTCACTTTCAATGCCAAATCTTCTGATTGGGTCTGCTTAAGCACTTTTGTCAGTTTAGGCACTTGCAGTTGATGAGCAGATTTACATCGCTCTTTTACTTGTAAATGTAGAGAAAGAGCAATCGAACGTTTGATTACAAAATTGTGCAATACATCTAACTTTTATATACCGAGTACTCGCATCAGTATTTAACATAAATGTAAATCCCTGCAGCATCTCAACAACTGGACACATATTGGCGACAAAACCACTATTTCCATCCTAAACAAATTAAAACTCTTCTCCCTTCAGCATAATATTCACCTGCAGTGGATTCCTTCTCACTTCGGTCTCTATGGCAACGACTTAGCGGACAGCCTGGCTAAATAGGGTTGCAGCCAACCGCACCCTACCTCGTCTGATCTCACCTATCTTGTACTTTACTCCCTGAAGAAATCTCATCTTCTCAGGGACTGGCTGACTTCCCCCACCCATCATTGATACAAAGGAAATAAGCCTGGAGTTTCTTTGACTTTTCCCTTTGAAAGGAGAGTCTGCATTACCCTCTCCATCCTAGCCTACTGGCCATCTAAAAGGTTTACTATTTTCTGAAGGAACTAAAATCTACCCCTCTGCCCTAAATGCCATCTGTACCGGGCTTCCGCCGATCATATCCTTGACTGTCTTGGTCTTCTCTAAGAAGAAATCTACTCTACTCTTCTTTTGGTCTTCTATTTCATTCAGATCAATGGGTTCATAGATCTGGTCTGACTTCGTCAGGCCAGATGAGGATAAGCAACAGCAACAACAACATAAATGTAAAACTTTGGCAATAGATAAAAAATATTTTATTTTAAGCTTCGTCCAAGTTATTTTTTTATAATCCTGTGCATAAACCAGATTTTTAAAAAAAATCTGAAAAATGAAGCTAATATTCGAAGTTATATTTTTTTTAAACCATAATTAATCCAACCCAAAATTGCTAAAAGAATTGTTGGCAATATTTTCTTACATATGAAATACATCTGCTGATCATTTTAAACTGAGTCTAGTTTCTTGAACAATATAGATTTTTCAGACTACTTAAAGTCGAAGGTAATAAAAATGGAATATCGTTATTTATACACCTATTCACAAACCCTCTACATGCCAGGAGTAAATCCAATCTCTCAGAAAGCTGTAACTTGAACTAAAATATTTAATAAGAGAGCATCTTATTCACATAGCTCTCTAGTTTTCAATATCTTTGAAGTTCCATTTACTACATAACTTTGATGTATTGATGGAGTCATATCTTAGGAAGAGCTTTCTCTCAAACTTTAAAATCGATATGCGTTGCATTCGTGATAGCTTTAGTTTTTAATATGAGTGGAAATAAACTTGAAATCACAAATTGAATAGGAAAGCTCTACAGTTGCAATATATTTTCCACAGTTGCAATGTTTGTAATAGTTAAAATAATGAAATATTTTAGTTTGTTTAAAAATAGTTTATTTT